AATAACTTATGATAACTTTATCTTTTTTTAAATAAAAAAAGTTCTTAATTAAGAGAAATTTAATTAAATTAAATTTAAAAAAAAAATTTTAAATACATTTTTAATAAAATAAAATAAAAATCTCCTGTCATTTACATAAAATAAAAATAAAATAACTAGTTTCTAATTAAAATAAATTACTTTCTAATTTAATCAATGCAAATTTTCCCAAATTCCTACAATTTGTCTAAAATTTAAGACACATCACCATTAAATAAAACAGTTATGAATTATGCTGAGCAACTAACCTTACAAACCAGTATGTGCATACATAATTACATATGACAAGTACTTTCAATCCTATATAGATCTACATCACATCTACATAGTAACATAAAACTATATCTCATCTTACAAAAAATATAAGGTTTTCACATATTTTCATATTACTACATGAATCTGAAACTGATGATGATGATGATGATCTACATAACATTAAAAGAACTTGTCATATATAACTGTATGTGCTAGTTTATAAGGTTGATTATTTAGTAAACATTTTTCTTTATTTTTTAAATATAAATTATTTAAAAGAATTAAAATTATTATGTCAGTAATTTAAAACTTTGGTCAAATTAAAACAAGTTTAAATAAACTAACTAATTTACTTTTTAAGAAGGTATGTAATATAAAAAGTACCTTGAGAACTGGTTGGAAATATATCAATAGCATGAAAAGTAAACGGAACTGCCTGGTATGATAATTTATTGGCAGATTCGGCTCTCTCACACCACACTTGAAACAGCTTCCTGTAAATGGTATTTCATTGTATTAGTTTTAAATATTAGTAATTTAAAAAATATATTTATAATGAATTTGGAAAACCTTTTGAAATACCTTTGGAAAACCATAACAATATATTGAAATATAAAAACACAAAAATTTGGAAAATCATCCATAACTAGTTAAATTTTATTTTAAATGTAGTTTCCTTTCTAGAAACCTGATACCTATTTGTCAGCTGGATTGCGTAGGATACATTTTTATATGTGAATTCAGAAATTTTGTCTAATTTGTTCCCTGATCTTTATACTCAAATGCATAACACCCACATTACAAATTAATTATCTCTGTCTGATAGAACTATTGCTAAATAAATTTTGATACCAGAATAAATAGAAGATTAGATATTTCTGTGCAAAGATAGTCATGATAGCAATGTAAAATGCAATGGTAACTATTTAATGATCTAAACAGTTCTGCAATTTTTTTCCTGCTATTTGACTTTAAAATTTTATATGAAAAAAACCAAAACTTTCAATGATTAAAAGCTATATGTAGTATTTTAAGATATTAATATAAACATTACAAGTTAACCTATTAAATTAAAAAATATAATAAATCCCAATTTTGAAGTATAATATAATTTTTGTTGATACTATTGTTTGGATCAGGGGTTTCTAACCTTTCTGATGTATTGATATACATAAAAAGTTGGAAACTCTTCTTGTCTACTCCTTTTAAGAAAGCTTTCTCCCTTAAGTAGAGTATATTAGATACATATTTATATGTATCTAATTTGTTCATTGAGCACCTTTCAAATTTTCATTGACTTCTAAGAGGTAAATTCCGTTCAAAGTAAAAGTATTTGCATCCAAACCACGATTTCCCAATGAGAAGTTGTGGTTTAAATGCAAATACTTTCACTTTAAATTGATAGAAATTTACTAGTCAAGAAATATTATTTTTCAAGGATATATATCTCAATAATTTAAAGGTTTTAAAATACAAACAATTTTTCATAAAGTGACAATCTATAAACATTGTTCTATGTATTGATAATTTACATAAGTAATTGAAACAGAAGCTTGAAACCTGTGAAATTTAATACATTGACTTCTTCCAATAACTCAATAATAAGAAATGTCATACTTTAAGTAAGTTTATTACTGGTAAATGTTGTCAGATCTCTTAGATCATCTTCAAGTGACAAACAACAGAATATAAAACTTCATATTTAAATAGTAAAATTTGTATAACAGAATGAGAAAAATAATCAGAGAATTAACTTACCGAGTGTAATTTCCATATAGAGAAACAGACATAGTAGAAACTTTGAAGCAAAGTTAATTTTTTCCACCAATCCCAGGAAAACCCTAAATTTAAATTTTTCAATTACAAAAATGTACAAAAAATAGTATAAATTACTGGGGAAAATGGCATAAAATTAATTATATTTTTATATATACATATAATAGAAATATTGCCATAAATATTACATTTTTAAAACTGACATTAGTAAATGATTTTTGGTTTAATATTTATAATATAATAGTAATAATACATTTAATTTACTTATAAAAAATTCTCGATTTCAATTAAACCATTTTCTGATTACTTAAATTATTTTATTTCTTTCTCTGTGTAATTTTATTTAAAAATAAAGAAAAAATTAAAGACAAAAAAAGATATAAATATAGTTATTTAAATATTAACTTTTAATCTAATAATAATTCAATGAACTCTCAAAGGACTGAGCTAAACAGACCCACAAGTGAGTGAGCAGATAAAAACACTGAACATTAGTAATTGGTTCATGCTTGACCAATAGACTGGTTCCATGAAGTTTTGTGGGTTTTCTTTACCTGTCTAACACCTAACTAGGAGCCAGTTTTCCACAGAAAGTCCTCCTGACATCATCCTTGTGTCATATTGCCTTATCCCATAAAACCAGAGTAAGCTAAATCATTTACTATCTTAAGAGTTTGCTATATACATAAAGAATAGTAAGGACCAACAATGTTTTCACCATATCAAAAGTCCACTACATTTGTGTAGTCAACATATCAAGAATCTACTGTATAAGATAAAATAAATTTCCAGCTATCAGGATAAACTGTAAAAGATGGCAAGTTTACAAATCCTCATTTTTTAGCCCAACTTGAGCTAAAAAAAATGGATGGAACTAAAGGAAGTAGAATGATTAGTACCTTCTCCAGGTTTTTACTCCTTGGTAAGAAGATTAACCACTAGAGCCAAGTGGAGCAATTCAGTTATAGTAAAATTTATTACTACTATAAGCAAACCTATAATTTTCAAGATTGTACAAAAATTAAACTTATATAACAATAATTCTCAAATATTGTTGTATAAATAACAATATTTAGACATTAACTAGCTAATTGTGCTAAATACTTTAACATGTTAAATGAAAAATCACTAGCAAAATTATTTTTCTAACATACATTTATTTCTATTTTTAATACTTATGTATGATTCAAAGTTATAATTTAAACTTTTAATTATAAAATTTTTAATTGTGAATGCATTCAAACATGCATTTATACAGATTTCATAGACAAAACGCATTCAATTTTACTGATTAGAACAGTTATGAAGCTAAACATTTGTTAAACTAGAGAATACTTTCGATTAATAAATATAAAATGCTTAAGTTATAAATTTCAGATACAAACAAATTTTGTTTGTTTAGATTTAAATAGATATTTTATATAAATTACAAACAATTTATCATATTTTTAGCATAATAAACTTCTTCACATGACATATTTCATTCTTAACAACAAATAAATGTTAGTGTTATTTAATATTTAAACAAATGATGTTCAGATTATCTGTTTGATCAAAGCAAAAATATTTATAAAGCCTATCAACAGTGTTAACAATTTATCTGTTTTTTACAAAAAATAAACTGCTAAAAGCACATATATTATATAATACATAATAATTTGTACTTAAAATTATATATATTATTCTGTTTATTTGAATATAAACAATAATGAAAATCTTTTAATATAATTTATTCTCTACTACTTAAAATCAAACTATATTATATCATGTATTGCTAATATAATTTGTGCAATTACCTAACATTATTACAGCTAAATAATCAAACATCCTTACTACACCCGATACTATCAAGAGATGGCACTTATCGCCTAACTCTAATGCCAAATTGTCTATTAAATTATTAGTATTATAGCTGTTTCTAGCCCAATATTATTCCGCTTTGGTTGATGTATTATTATAGATTTTTACTGATTACATTACACTACAATAGTAGTACCAAAAATAATATTTTTATTAAAATGTTATTAAATTTTACAGAATTATAATATTTTGCATGATTTTCAAAGATTATAAAAGATTGATTTTGCCCAAGTCAGTTGCTTGAATCAATCGTTCATGTTATTTGGGTCCATTCTTTAATACCATATCCACAATTTTTGGTACTTTAACCTGGTCCTATAGCATATAAGGTGGTACATTTCTTTTTTGTTTCTTGGGAGCTTGGATTGTAAAGAAACAAGCTCCCAATAAACAAAAAAGAAGTGTACCGCCTTATATTCTATGGGACCAGGTTAAAGTACCAAAAATTGTGGATACGGTATGCTTGAATCAGTTTGATCACAGTTAACTTCTGACAATAATAAAGGAAACATTTGATAAATTGTAGAAAATTTACAAAAATTCTCAAATAGACAATACTTTAAAAGTGTTCTCATACTTTGTCTCAATAATGTTAAATAAAACCTTAAAATCCTTCCTCTGGTGACAACACAAACGATTAAAAAATATACATTTGATAAAACGGTCGAGACATTTTAATGTTTTAAATATTCACTCTGTCGTAAGACTTATTTCCTGATGGAATGTGAAAGGGACAAAGTGAGAAGATGCTTTTTAAAGTATTGTCTGAGAATTTTTGTAAATTTTTTTTATGTTTAACAAAAAGAAAAATTATTAAAAAAAACTTCTTATTTGTTAAATAATTACAATTCTAATTAAAAACATTAAAAAATTTTAATATTTTCATTCATTTACTATGAATTCTTATGAACAATTACATATATAATAATTTCAGATCAGTTTTATAAAAAATCAGGTGTTTCCTTTAATTAAGTTTATTATTAATTAACTAATTAATTAATTTTAAAAATAACAACCCAGATAAGGAATACTTTATAGGAAACCAAATAAAACAAAGATATAGTAGAATATGTTAAAATACGAATTATACTAAACACTATTAAGAAAATTCATTAATAAGCATTACATTTGAAGTATAAGCACCACTACTTCATGTAGGAATTTTATAAACTCCAGGTCTTTCCAATAAAAGGTCGTCACTGTTGTTTGTTGATAACCTCCCGAGATTGGGTTGGGTTGGGTTGACGTATGGCTAAAACAGAACCTTCCTTTCTAAAGATTTTTGCTAATTTGATGGATACATGTCCCAAGTATGGCTGGTACATGAGACATGTATCCTTGAAATTAGCAAAAATCTTTAAAAAGGAAGGCTCTGTTTTAGCCATACATTCCCATCCCATCTCAGGATGTTATAAGTATTACATTTTGCTAATTTGAATAAATAAACTATTGTTATTTATTAGTTTTTATGTTTTTAAATAATTATTTGAAAAACTTAAAATATAACATTTTATAATTATTATTATAAAATCATTATAAAATTTTATAATCATTATTATAAACATTTTATAATTTATTAAACAACTAAATTATTTAATAAATATTTTATTTATTTATTCTCATTAAAGAATATTTTTAAATCAGTAAAATTAATATTACGTAAAATTTGAAACAATTTCTTGTATTAAAAATATAAAATCTCAAATAAAAGAAAAATTATATCATAATTTAAAATAATTATAATAAATCTTTGGCTCCTATCCTTTTGTAAATCCCTCTACTTGACATTACTTCTATGCTTTGCTGGAAACTCAGTGGGGAGTAAAATATTACAATAATACTTTTCACTGATAAAAACCGTAAGAGATTAAATTATATTTAGAAATTAAATTTATAATTATAATCCTATTATAATATATTATTAATTTATTTAAGTATTTAATGTCTGATTAGGAAAATAAAAATTTAATTAGAATAAAAACTACTCCCAAAAATACATGAAAACAAGTGTAAAAAGAATTATTTTTAATAAAAATTCTTGATAAAACACACTAACCTTAAGGGGAGAAGAAGGGAAACTTCTAACCAGAAAACATAAATTGATGCTATTATATAGACGAGAATTTTCAAAATTTTTTTCGCAATTTTTTTTTATTTGGAAATGCCAAATAAGCCATTATTATTATTATGAAAAAATCAGAAGAATTATTAGTAGTAAACGAAATAAAAAGCATAATATCAGGAAGCGAAAAAAATTCACTTCCCTTCTCTAATCACTACACAGGATATGGCGTAGTTTTCTGTTGAAAATCGATTAGTATCTAAAGATTGTTGTGAAATATGCAATTGGATATTTCGACACGTAAATCCCTAATGTATTCTCCTGTGTAAAGATTTATTAATTAACTGGCATAAATGTGTACTGTACGCACTTACAACGTTACATTACTCAGTCATTTACTACACTGTTCTATAACTAGAAAGTTTAAATGTGCTCACTTAGTCATAAACCACTAACACCAACAGGTTTCAAAGCTTACACTACTTTAAAAAAATAAAGGTTTCTCGTTAGTCATTATCAAGGACATATACGAGAAGGAATTGTAAACCTTTAATAATGTCCGCTGCATTCTAGTAACTTGTGTAAACCTGGTTATCCCCTTTTTCCGCCTACACCCAATGATAATAATTATATTATTATTAATATAATATAAAAAAGAAAATTGCATAACAGACCTGCTCCTTTCTTAAATGTATTCGTTTTATATTCAGCCTAATTTAAGTTATAATAATTTTTCTATTCATTTTCCGGATATTTTTATACATGTTGCCGGCGATATCCAGATCTACAACGTCAGTGTGTTCTAATCACAGTTAATTTGATGACGTCACTATTTCGTAAATCGTATCTCAGGAATAACTGTGACGATTTTATTTGTTTATTAAAGTCGTAGCGAGGAATTTTCTGGAAAATATGAATGAATTTCGAATTTCTCCGTTGACAGAAATGTAAGGCCGTTTGTAGTACGTTTCGTTAGGATCTATTGTTAATCGTCACGTAAAACAATTCAAAAAAAGTGAATGGTAAGAAGCTATAATTATACGACAGTAATTTGAACTCGGTTACCTCACGCATAAGCGCGGTTTATCTAAATAAATGACGTATACGCACGTATATACAACACGGTAGAAACAATTTAAAAATTAAAACACGTCCACGATAATACAAACAAAGCGGTTACAGGATTCTCTTTAATACCGTTTTATGTGAAACTAACGTAGAGAATTGCTATACTTCACTTATAAGATGAACAACAAACATAATCTTCAATTTTTTTTTTTACCCTTTCTCCTACAAATAGAATTCCATAACGCGAAAAGGTAGTTTTAGGTGTGGTGCTCGCCTCCTCACCTCATTTTTAATGCCAATGACTGGGGTTTTTTTTTTTACCTAGGCGAATGATCCGGGCCTCGCAGATAGAGGCCGTAATCCGGATACATTTTTAATGATTAATGTATAGCCTACACCATTCGTATTTTCACTCGTTCATCACTGAAACCGCTTGAAAACGAGTACCAATATGGTGTAAGAGGACACCTACATCCTGTGCTTTCACACAGTTCTGTTTTTAAAAGCTTAATCGTATTACAACAATCTATAAGTGCAATATTTAACAATGATTTCATTATTACAACAAGCGAATGTCTTCATTCCCCCGCAATTTCTTCCCGATTGTAATGTTTTACGCTGGAGTGTTGGGTTTCAAGTTCAACTTTGAAACTAAATATAATTTCATCATTTTTAACGTTAACTTTGGTTACATTTGTTTATTTTTATATGTTAATAGTTGTTACAGAAAACACAGAGATAGGCGTCTACCGAAAGTAAAGATATCAGGATACGCCTAATCTAACAACAAATGGAATTGGGTGGCATTTTTTGTCCCACGCCAAAATATGGATGAAAGATAACTGATTTAATATCTTTATCACTGAAAAATATCGATTTATCAGCGATAATAAACTCTCCATTGCAAAAAACAGCGGCAGTAACAGCAAACTTGTTTACAAACAATCTCTACAAATTACTGTGTTTTTCTTTAAAATAAATTATACACCAGTTATAAAATACGCTAATGTTTACTATAAAGATTATTTTTATAAAATTTACTACACTTATTTCTTTTTTAAATAGTAAACAAAGAAAAAAAATCCAAGGTAATGTAACGCCTACATAGCATCAAATGCTGACAACCTCATTCGTAATCTCTATACAAGGCAATAGTAAACATAACTATTTAAATATCGAGAAAAAGTTAAAAATTACAACTTTTAATACGTATTTTTTCCCCACAGATTTTATTTACAGATTTTTTTTCTCGCGACGAGATAAAATTCGCAACCTTTAAACACCAGAAATGAACTGTGAATGCCTTTTATCAGTTCACAAGCGGCACACAATGTAACCTATTGTTTGATACACTACCCAATCGGATCTGGACGGAAGAATGTATATATATATATGATTTATGGCCGAAAACAAATTTATCAGATAAATTTTTAGATTTAGTTCGATAAAATACATCCCTACGCTTGTTTTGCCATGGATAGAAATCAGTATCAATTGTATTCTGATGGGAAACAGATCAAAATTATGAAACAATTTCTAATGGTTGAAGGAAGTTTACAACAGTTAAATTTCATAGGCACGAGCCCGCATAAACAATTTAGAAAAGTGGCAATTAGTAATAATTAAAGTACGCGCATCCATCAGTTTCGTTTTAAAAGTTAAGATTAAAATGGTGGAATGCCTACCTGGAGCCATGGTATCGGATATTTCTGATGTTATAAGTTGATCTGACTGGTGTATGTTCAAGCAGCGATCAACATCTAACCCGGGCTGAACGCCTACATCGACCGCCCAGACTGAACTGAGTGGGTGTTTGAATATGTAGGCACCTGTAGAATTCAACACAGTTCTTTTCGTGTTATAATATTCAAATATATCATAAAATAGAACTTTGAATCGAAATAGATATTTAAAAAAAAAATATATATTATATATTATATATATACTTATTTCAGTACCTAATGTAATCATACGGAACGTTAAGAGTGACCTGCTTTGTTTTTATTAAAATTACACTTTTATACGATTATTATTAAAGAATTCTCGAGATGCATGAGGTTCTGGACCACATAAAGAGTAATAAGCAAGCTGCGAGACTTGGCAGTGTACTTTCCTCACCCCCCCCTTTTTGGTGCAACGTTACAAAACGGCGTTAACGACAGACATACAAACACCTACGTTTAATCACGTCGAAATTAGAAAAATTCCGGTTTAGTGCCCGTTTAAAAAACAATGATACGTGAGCTCGCAACGATGTATACGTAAGTACAAAGGATGAAGGAATTCGCGTGTAGCGTGTATTTACTATTCTAGTTTGGTCTTAACTCTTTTGTTGGGCGGTGGGAAAGTCCGATAATGGGAAATATTTACGAAACAGACTTTAGAATGGTTAGAATTAATGATATTTTAGTTTTTTTTTATATCCTGCCGTGATATTCTTTGATGCACGGAGTGAGTGGGTAGGACGTATAAAAAGCGATTACGTTGGCTTCGAAATTGAGAAAACAACCTTGAAATGTATTAGAAAGAACAATCTTTTCAATAATCCCTTAGGCGGACAAACCCGGACAATTAGCCTAAATTCTTTATTTATTTATTTTACTTAAGTAATTTACAAATTCGATTGGCTACACACGAATTGCGTTAGGTAACGACGGCGAATATTTAATGGAAACAAACACCATTTGCATAATCTCTCGCTCGGATTGCTTTACGCGGATAAAGAAATCGCAAGAAAACAAATGTTAAAAACAGTAAAACCCGCGTAAGACAGAATCGCATGGTAGCGAATGTTTTTTCCGCTTTTGACAGGTTTTACAGCGTCCTTAGATAATGCTTTTGTCGTCTACACAAACCTCACTAATAATGTAAAGGCTATACAGTATCGATGTACGATGAAATCTATAATATATCAATAGCACGTAACTTATAATCCTCTTAAGTTATCAAACATTTAACTTTAGTTTCCTGCACATTAAATACAAGGAAAAATGATTAAATCCTCGATAACGACCATAAAAAACCACCCTTTGGCATCGGTTATTTGCATAATTTATAATTGTATAAATTTTTTTAAATATGCATTAATTAATTATATTCACGTGGCGTTAATCTAGTAAATTATAGTGATTTCTCTTCCTTCGAAAATCGTGATATTCAAGAAATTTCGCAACATATTTCACGCTTTCTTTACAAATGCAAATTACACATTTATTAAATCAGAAGAGAGCAAAGCGTATATTCATCACACGAATAAATTTCTATATCATTTTATGTTTTACTGAAATTCGTTGTTTCCACCAGTTACATGGCTATCCGAAGTTCACGTCACTATTGTTTTCTATTGTTAGTTAACATATTTTTCGTCTATTTCCATTTTTAGTTGGGTTTATTGCGTTTTAGATCTCGTATGACAATATTACATCGCGAGTGGCAATGACACTACGAGTCAAATAACTGAAAGCTAATCCCCAACAATGCAGAAACCGTAAAAATTCGCAGGAAACTGGTTCGAAATCCCATTTTTTACTTTCCCGTCTGTTATATATTATAACAAGGGGAATCAATCAAAAATGACCCCCCAGATTTTCACATTTTTTTTACCTTGAAACGTCGAGAAATGCAAAAAAATTCGGGGGTTTATTCTGTATGTATGAATGTTAGTGTGTGGGGTAGCCACGATTTTGTTCGCCCTGTTTGAAGATTAATAACTCCTGTGTTTTTTGTCGAAAATTTCTGAAATTTTGCAGGCAGGCTTGTTTATTAGGGGGATTGATCCTATTAAATTTTGGTGGTTAAAGCTAGACGGGGTGGGAGATAAAGGGGGTCGTGTGTATCTCCAGTAGGGTGAGACTTAAATAATGATTTTACTCATTATTAGCATTTAAAACTTTTTATAAAACTCAAAATTAAGTTTTTTGCCATTTTCTAATAGCCAAAAATATAAAATGCAGAAATATGGCGCCATCAAATGTTGCCAGGAAAGTTAAGCAACTCGTTGCTGGGTTTTTATACATTAAAACACGCGGTTAAGGGAAAGAAAACAATATTCCAATTGTCTGTTCGCGTGTTTAATGTAAACAGAATAAACCTCGCCTGTTTGTTCGGTTATCTAAATTAGAATAATGAAACCTTTAGATGCAATTCCACGGCTTATATGGAATTTAAATCGGTTTCTGCGTGTATAAACCACACTGGAATGGCACAAAACTTTAATTAATACCACACACCAGGCAATTGTGTTTCGATCAAATGAGCCTGGCGAGTGTAAATTGAGAACGTTGTTGCAGCTTTCAAAGCAATCGAAGTTTCAATAAAAATTATTCACACGAAAACAAACCACACCCCCTAAGAAAACGATATATTTAGCCCATTGCAAGATTATTCGTTCCAGTTTGCATGTAGGGGAGGAAAAAAAGGACAATTTAATTGTTTATTTCACAATGATTAAAGTTGAATATACCACAAAGTCACAAACGTGACGATCCACACGTCCTCCAAGACAACTAGATAATAGAACGAGATTGCCACACATCAGTAACTACAAAAGCCTTATACAAAGAGAATAAAGAATATAAAGCAGTGGGGAAATATCCGAGGTGATACATAATTGCACTTTTAAAAAATCCATCCTTTTTACTGTATTATCTACTGTATTTTCCCTACACGCGGCTGATCTTCCTGAGAGCATTTTTTGCTGTAAGAATCGTTCTGTGTGATAAATTTCTACAAAAACAAGAGATCTTATCAGTCCATCAATTAAAATTTCTTAATAAACTGTAAGTAACCTATTGTCTTTCAGATAATCATAGTGATAAACTCATTTTCGGTTTTGCTTACTGCAGATTACAACTGCGGTGGCAACTTCGAATCGGGCATTACGCATTAAAAAAATTAATAATAATAATAAAAAAACAAACGAAGTTTGAGATGTCCGCAACTATCAGTCGTTTATCTCAATTTTATATTTGTATATCGGAACTCCTGCTTATTGATAATGCTTAAAAGATAATTCGATAATAATATTTAAAAACTAAAATTTATATTAAAAAAATCGAGAATGTAAAAGATCTACGAGAAATTTCCTTACGTTTCCACTCGAAACAGCCTCTTGCAACTTGAACTTTCTTTTTTTATGAAAATCCTCTCGACTACTCCGTAATAGAAATTTATGTACGTATATTCAAGGAATGGCAAATTTCAAAGGTTTCCATATTCTGCATTGGTTGCTATGACAATAACAGAGCCAAAAAGTCGATAACGACTGTCGTTCCATCTCGTGTGATAAAATTTAACTTAAAAAAAACGCACTGTCGTGCTGATGGGCCGATGTAATTAAGGCCCTGAAACGACTTCAAAAATTCCAAACCGGTTCGGGAGCAGCTGTAAACCAAACTTTCAAAACACGAAACTAACGACGTTCCGCGTTGGGAAAATGCACGTTTTTATGCAGAACTCTTCATAAAAAGAGACGAAAAACGACGAAATTAACGGAGGAGAGAAGTCCGAATTCGTGAATGCAGTTACGTTTAACGAAAAAAAAGAACGTTTTCGGGTATAACGTAAAATTAAATTTTTCCGCCATATTTTTTGCGTTTTATACGCGTTAAAAAAACTAAATTAATGGCTTCTAGAAAAGAATTCAATTACTCACTCAATTCCGACTAGAAGCAAAGTGTTTTCGTTTGAAACTAATGCTGTCGTGATACACAAAATCGATTTTTAAGAGAACGTTACAGTGATTGATAGAATTTTCCCTTTCATGATAACGAAACACGAGGAAATACTTTATTACATTTAGGAAATGTGCGCCTATATAAGTTATATATATATAAAGCATGCAAAACGTATAAAATCCTCTAATTATTACACATGTAAAGTCACGGGACAGTATCATTTTTATGTCACTAAATAATTTATCTTCTAATTATTATATTTACTTAAAACAATACGTTAAAAAAATACTAAAATTTTCTTACCTATTTTTGCTACTATATAAATCCCTCTCATCACTATATTAACATAATTAACAGCGATTAATTTAATACAATGTACTGTACTATACCCCAATACTAGAATTGACTAGAAAATTTACAAATTTTGACAATTTAAAGTGCTAAAATTATTCTCTTTTATGTATTATTATAGAAAAAAATCGAATCAATCAGTTAAATTCTAAGTTTTCTTCTTTAAATATAACGTTAACCTCGCACAAACCTCCAATAAAGACAGTTTTATAAGGTTTCTTGAGGATGCAATTTATCTAAAAGTAGGAAAATTCGAGAAAACACCTCTATATAGCATAAAAACCTGCTGAATAATCGCATAAAACGTAATGAAATGGCATCTTTTATGCTAAAAATAATTCAAATTTAATAAATTTAAATACAATAACTCATATATTCGCCTACAAATACATTTCGAAATTATATAACTCGTTAACTTACCTAGTATATTTTCAACGTAGTTTATTCGTTATTTCGGGGATAAGACCTTATAAAGTGTGAAGAGTCATGTGATTTGACGATATTGCACGTTGAAAAACACACACATGTAATGTGCCGACCAATCACATTTGAGCTATCAAAGCGACCAAATAATAGACGACTAAATGCCCATATAATAAGGCAGCTGCCGTTGTTTTTTGAAGTTTTCGAATTACAAAGGGGGTACGTTAACATTTCTTGGTAACACAGAAGAGGGGGACGGTTTCGACAGAAAACAAATCTATAACAACACAGATGAGCTCATAATCGTTACAAATCTTTGCTTATAAGTTACGAAACACCCGTACATAAGTCCCAATTGATTGTTTTTTTTAATACAGGAAAACAGTTTTATAGTATAGAATAATAT